ACTCGTCATTACTCCTGGACATCAATCAGTCAAACTGTTTGCATTATTATGATGCATTTTTGATGTCGCTGAGTGAAGAAAATTTTCAAAGTTGTAATGTGTTTTCAAGATATACATAATCAACGTTGCCCCAGCCTTTGTCTGAACCTAGTACCGTATAATGAATTATCATTGACGAACTAAGACCCATCATGGGCCATAAGCCCTAGAGATCCAAAAACATTTTTACAATTTAGTAAAGGGATAAAAAAAAAAAGAGCTCATTATGGTTATTCAAAAAAAGTTCGTCTGCTAGACATCACGAGTAAAGATATTTTTAAAGATTGAAAGAACTTTAATGGTTTTGGCCCTGCCTGGCAAGCCCGGGGCTTGGACAACCAAGATAAAAAAAAGGTTGTGTTCTCTTCCATTCACGTATGATATATATTCTGAAACTTGATGAAAATATCCAAGAAAACGCACAACAGCCCAACATACAGCTACGCACTGACATAGTAGTGATACAAAAACTCTCAAAATTACAAAAATAAATAGATTTTAAAAAATATTAAAATAAAAAGACGTCCATAGGATAAAATATCACTTGATTGCATTGAAATGAACCAGCTTAATGGATTACACAGAGATTGGTATGTATTTCGTATGGTAGAAGGTGGTATTTGCATAAGCCTGGACGTTATAGTTTGGACCTGTGACAAAATTTTATGGAATTCTGCGTCCTCTGTGTGTTATTTTTGTCAACACTGCAAAATCTTCAAAATGGAATGAAGTCTGAATCATGTTTTCTTTTTGTAGAAGAGAACTTAGTCTTTAAACAGGCCACTATTATGAAAAAAGATCAATCAAACAATTTTATTGTAGAATAAAGTGATAATGCCACTTTCGAGGATTCATTATAATTCGAATTTGTTGAATATGCCACATCTGTTATAATTTCAGCACATACAAGCATATCAATTGGTTTTAATTATTAGGTTCAAATAAAATGTGTATCTTAAAATTGAACGTTGTGGCGAGGTTCAATGTCCTTTTGCATCAACATTACACGGGTATGTCTAAATACCCTCCAGAACTTGGCATGAATCTGAAACATAAAAATAAAAACATTGTCCTGCCAATGGTTCCAATATCCCTGAGCGTTACGGTTGCAGTGTTCATAATGCAGCACTAAGACATGAACAGTTTTAAATTTTAATGACTATAGATTAGAAGTTTATTATACAAGTCTATACATAAAATTAATATGTTTTGTTTTGTAGAAATTTCAGCTGAAGGTACCAGAATGCAGAATAAATGGAATTTTATTCTTGCTGTTTACACGACACATAATTTGATATAGTGTTTTTATGTAAAAGTTTTTCCCAGCATTTTACAGAGATCCTCAGAAAACCCTATACCAAAATCTTCCATCATGTATTTTCATTGTACATCCTGCTAAAGTTCTTACTTTTTTAATCATTTCTATTTGACTTTTAGGACACTGCCTTAAGGATACTACCATTCCCTATGATCTAGAAGGTTTGCGCATGCGCAGTCATCACAATCACTATAGGCGAAAACGTACTCCAAAATCTGCTAAAAATTAAAGCCTTGATCACAAATTACGTTTCTTAAACTTATAAAGACTGATGTTTGAGCTATCAATATTGAAATCTACGATCACTTTGTTGTTTAATTAAATTTAGCTCTCGCCTGTAGTGTCTTGTGGTTTGGCACTTGTCATTCGTCTCTCATTCTCAAGCAAATGCTCTGCGACTTTCTGCGCGAGTAAATGCTCATTAGCTGACGTACAAAGGGCGAACAGCATGATGCACTGAGGCACATAGAACACACATGCACTTAAAGAAATGCATATATTTTCGCACACGTAGGTTTCAATGATGACACTTTTGGAGGCACTTTTTAATACTCAAGAGAATATACATTTTTAATAGAAGGTGTTCTGATATACACGGTAATTCTTTGTCAGAGGATGATCCTCCTGTAGTTCACTCTTTAATTCTAATTACTGCAGTAATTCTAATTACTCTGTGGTGATTCTAATTACTCTGTGGCAATTTTAATTACTCTGTGGTAATTCTAATTACTCTGCCAGGTGTGTTACAATTTTTAAAACTAGATGTCCAATAATCTCCAGGCTTCAAATGTCATTCATAGATTGTAGTTTCATATTGAAATTGCACGATCTAATCTTTTGTCGTTGAAATTTTATATCCATTTAATATGATAATATGACAGAGCGAATTAAAAAAAAAAAAAAAGAAATGCCAAATATCAGAACACTTTGTAGTCCTTCGTCAGGTATCAAGGTAAAGTACAATGAATATAGAATCTAAACCTGACGATCTGAGAAAGCATTACGTCTATTATATTTTATCTATTAAGAAAATGTAGTCAGAAAATGATAAAAATCTGTTTGATTAATGGCGTAGCTACATGTAGCAATATACATGTATAAAAATGAGGCTGATCTACGAAGTAATGTCAGATCAGATTCTATTTGTTTTGTCCTTCTTGAAAAATGAAATGAACAGAGACATATAATTTAACATTATATTTTAAGGATAATAAGATAATTTTGCTCTTCGCTGAAGAGTACAAATCGTTAATGAATGAAATATTTCATAATTATTATTGTTTTTATGTTTGATAAGCAAATTGCACACGTATTTTCTCATATATTGTTCCCTAATGTCTAAAAGTATAACACAAACAGTTCTAGCTTCTGTTACACTTTTTCAAGACTTTTCACTTAGAAACAGTAATTAAGTCATCTTGTCTGCAATTTCATGGATACGTAGGCCAATTTTGCCTTCAAGAAATGAAAACAATTATTTGGAGACGAAATGAAAACAGACGGTAGTCGTAATTGTGTAGGACTTGTCTAAATTGTTTATTCTGGAAATCAATAAATTGTATCCCAAGGTATCCAAAAACTATTTACTCTCCCCATTGCTGCCAGTTAACCGCCTTCCCCACGCGATCTTGTCATGGCCAGGGAAATCTAAAATTCAGATTCACTAAAACGTATTTGGGACCTCGTTCTTGTGTCTCATGCTCACACTTACCGTACAACTATTGGTCACGACATCGTCACTTTTACCGTAAACCGCTGGTCACGACATCAGCAGGGCTTCCGGTGATTCATTGTTGCGTTTTATATGATCAAAAATATATTTTATTTCAGTGGGGGAAATATACCATTTATATATGTGATACAAAAAGAGAGAATAAAAAGCTCATTTAAAATTTAATATCATATATATTTTTTAAATTATGTACTCAGAATGAAATATAGTTTGAATATGCCTGCGTTATTTTGGTGTCTGTGTACTTACTCGATGGCACACACTCTCAAAAGACACTTCGGTATGTTTCTTTAAAATAAAAGACATTGTCTTTACTAGTTTATCGAAGAAAATTGTACGTGTTTGTATTTTAATTTTTTTCCTCTTTCTAATAAATACTCTATTACTTGTATTTTTATATTTTTTCGACTTACACTCCAGCTGGTTTCATCATTTTTCTTTATTTCTCGAGATATTCTTTGATGTTAAAATGACGTAAAGATGATTTTCCTTGCCAAAAATCCAAAGATTCTACCAAATGTTACATTATATAATTAAATCTTAATTACTTTATTCTAATCTCTATTAAACTTGACAAGCCAAATTCGTTTGTCTGTATGTCTGATGAAAGTCTCGGGGGACGTCAAAACTTTCTTTCTCGTCGCCTCTTGTGTCGTGTTAGGGCGATAAAAAGGCCCCTTATGTCGTTAGAGAAAAAAGATGCACTGAACGACAACACGTTTGTGACACAAAAGATAACGTGATGAAGCTCTCTGTCTTAAAGGAAAATTGAAATTACATGTAAATCCATTAACCCCGCTCTGTGAATTCGATTATCGTCAAATATACGGCTAGGTTGCAGTAGTAAATAGCTTTACTACTGATTTGTTGATGGTGTAAGGGGCCCGCGTAATAAAAACTGGCAAGATATTTTTTCCCCTTGAAAATCATAAGATCCTCCAAAAATCGATGGTTGTAAGCAGTTTTATGACAGGGGAGGCGATTATATCTCTTTGTAAACGCGTTTCAGAATATTTTTACGTTCATACGTCATTGTACTTTCTTCCTATGAAGAATTCTTCCTCGGTGTTCAGAGTGCGATAGTTTCTGACTATTTCCATCATTTTCATATGAGTTTAATAATTTTTTTCGCCTTAAAAAATTATATTTAAAAGAAATGTTTTCCGTCATCTCGATTCCGCGTTGCAAGTAGGGAGGAGACGCTTGCAAATCCAGTCTTTCCAGATGCCACGATAGGTTTACACTTCACAACACTTATAATGTATGCTAAATGTATCTTTTTACTCTCAGAAATATTGCGAAGGTGGAATACTGGATTTCATTATTTTGATATGTATGTTTGTATATTAGCAAAACATTATAAGTGTTGCTAACATATCTATTATAACATGTATAACTTATGAAACCTAGTGTCTGTGGAAGTACATTATATTATGTACGTATTGGTATATCTACTATTTATGATGAAGGGGTAACTTTGGAGAAAATAAACAAAAGAAATGACCCAAAGTGTATCACACTCTCGGCCACTGCCAGTTTACCCACGCATACTTTGCATAGTGAACTTTAAAATATTTTTAAGAGCAAATAATCATCATTCTAATTTTTTCCACTACCACTTCACTTCTAAAGAATATGTATAAACAATCTATAAAACATGAGTGACAATATATATAAGCACACTAGGTAGGGAAGGTATCTTAATACTTATAAAAAGTTGTTTGACTGTTCGCTTTGCGAGATGTTATTTTTTATGAGCGGCTTTTAAGTTTACTTACTAGTAAGATGACAATATTCGTAACGTTTTGGTTTACATTTTGAGATGGCTTCATGGTCGACTTCGTACATTACCCAATGTCCTTGCAGGTTTACCTGTTTACATAATAAAATGTTAAATCCTCTTTTCTTTAGATATTTTCGCTCTGGAGCCGAATTTTGATGTCCCAGTTATCAACATTACAGTCGTAGTGGGTAAAACCGCCATATTGCCGTGTTCGGTTGAGTTTCTTGGGGAACATAAGGTACAGTGCTTTACACTTAGAAACTTTTCATGAATCTTTTAGTAATACAATGTTGCTAAGTATCCACCCCTAGTGACATCACACATTCTAAACTGGTCGCTGAAATAATTCCTCTTAGAATCGACCTGCTTTACAAGCTTGACCTTGAGCTTTCATTTGGAAAATATTGGTCACAAGCAGCATTTACAGATGATTTGTCAGTGTAGGACCTACAGTCACTTGAGGATAGACTGATGATTTTTTCTTCAGTTGTATGAGTCGCCCGCGCGGCGCAGTGGTTAGAGCGTCTGCTCTAGAGTCGCGGAGTAGTTGATCCTTACGTCGCGGGTTCGAATCCCACTGCGGGACGTGGAGACCGGTCCTTCGGATGAGACCGTATAAACCGAGGTCCCGTGTCTCAGTAGGTGCTGGCACGAAAAAGATCCCTCACTGCTCAATGGCCCTGAGTGCCAAGTATAGGTCAAAATTTGTATTATTACCTTATCCAGCTAGGGCATAAAGAAGAAACTCGTGAACGTCCTTGATGCACACTCATGCAAGTTATTTAATATACGAGTTTCTGTTACTCGTCAAAAAATATGCGTCACATTAAGCATCCAAGACATAACAGACAGTATGCATCCCAAGACAGTGGAACTAAGCCCATTTTATACCCCAGACCTTTCGTACCCATATTTAAGTTAAGGTACAAAGAGTTTGGGGTCGAAACAGGATTAGCTCCTGTGTCCCAAGACGCAGAGTACATGTACGTTGTTGTTAGACTCGTCAAGGAAAGGACTAATGACATTGGAATAGGCCTGTTCCAAAATACTGATCTGATCTCTAAAATGGAACATAAAGGTCACAAGCAGAACTGATTAAAATCGAAAATAAACCTGCTAAAAGTCTTAAACTTGACCATTTATCCGGAACAAGTATATCTACAGTACATGTGCAGATATAACACTTTCGGAATTCGGAACCCTACTTCGCGTCATTTTGCTTTTAGCACAGCTATTGAATGAAGTAATTTATTAATTTGGTAAATCTAAAAGTTTAAAGAAGACTTCCAATGTAAACCCAGATCCTTGGAGCCCATGGTGAGCACTAGGACATAGATTAAAATTCCGAAATTCTAATTTTACATTTCTACATATCATGACCAAATATATGCATAGAAATCATTTTTACTGCCACTGAAAATTAAATATGGGATCCAATGGCATGATAGTTAATAAATAACCATATTTTGGGCCAACCGCGTCGAGATCGAAATATCAAAATTTTACTTTATGACATGATTAATCATATTGGAAAATAATATTTGAATTTCTCCTATAGATAAAAGATGTGACAGATGGACGAAAAAAAGTAACAACTATGCACCCATCTTTCTTTAGAAATAGCGATTTTAAGAAGCAGTCAATAAAATTTCAAAGTTTTCCTGCTGCAGCTATGTTTATGTTGAAATTATCATTTTTTGTAGGTTGTTTGGACGGATGAATTTTCAACATTATTGACTTTTGACATCAATCGAATCATTGATGACGATAGAATTGGCATTGATAGACCTTATACCCGAGATTGGAATCTTTTAATTCGTGACGTCAAAGTAAAGGATAGAGGGCGCTACATTTGTCAAATCAACACACATCCAATCAAAACTAAGCCAGTGGAACTCAATGTTTTAGGTAAGTTTTATATACATGTATATATTTTATGCAAACCGTTCACGGTAGCTCAGTCGGTAGAGCGCTCGCTCCGTGATCGGGAGGTTGTGAGTTCGAATCTCGGCCGCGACTCACCTAAGTCGATAAAAAAAATGGGTAGCAACTGTTCCTCTACATGCACTCGGCACTTTGAAGTGAAAGTTGAGGGTCCTTCGGATGAGACCTTAAAAACCAAGGTCCCGTGTCACGGTAGTCGTTGGCACGATAAAGATCCCTTACTGCTCAATGGACCTGAGTGTCGAGTAAAGGTCAAAGTTTAAAGCCCTTCACCGGTATATAATGACGTCTCTATACGAGTGAAAAATTCTCAAATGGGACGTTAAACAACATACAATGAATCAATCAGTCATATCTTATGCAACGCTTCTTAATTTTGTTCAATGTTGGGGTCTTACATAGTTTTAAAAGTCTCATCCCAAGGACCCGCAACTTTCACTTCAAAGTGAACAGTGCTAAGGAACAGGAATTCAAGGGAACAGTGCTACCTTTTTTTTTTATCAACTTAGGTCAGTGGCGGTCGGGGTTTAAGCCCACGACCTTCCGATCACGGAATGTATGAAAACAAAGGCAATAAAGGTTAAGTACATGTTACACAAGTCCCTTATACTTTCATTTTGATTGATAAAATGGATGGGAAGAAGCCACATATTATTTTATTAGTTCATATTCGAATATTCAATGAAAGTATTCGAATATATTAATTTTATTTTGATAAGTATACTCTTTGCGCCTTTTAGATATTCTTAGATTTCATTTGTTGTCCTCGATTCTAGATCCGATCGTATCTTTAACTAATAAAAGCTATGAAAGTACGTTTTGTATTATACATAAAGCATTATTGTACAATTCTTTACAACACCTTACTCAAAGCAAAATACATGTAATTTAGAAGATTTATAAGATAAGAAAGTAGTGAAAGAAATCAGGCGATCGAAATTGATCGCTAGTAAATTAAACAGGGATAATTCCAGCACTGTTCTAATCAAAATTTATTAATCACAGTATTTCTTTTTATGAAATCTGAAAAACACCGAATATTCGAATCTTAAATTCATATTCGAATATCAACTCATCGAATGAATATTCGAATATTCGTTGCCATCCCTACTACCTACGTATAAAGTGCTCAGTTGTTAATATCAAACAACAGATAAAAGAAAGTAAAATCGCTAGCGTTAAAGGTTTAATGTTTAGGTTTGTGTTCATGTTCATGATGTAGACATTCTCCGTAGTGTACTGCCTCCAGAGTTAACCCATTGTGATGGTGCTTACACTCAGCTTTGGCAAATTCACAGCTGAAACAGTTAAAAAAAAAATAAGTAAGCATTTTGAATAGTGATGCATATGGTCATCTCAACCCTCAAAAGTTATTCACGACAACAGTAACCTGAACCAAAAATAACCTTTCTTAGAAAAGAAGGGAGTCGTTGTCTAATGTGCTGTGGTAATTCGACAGACTCTCCTGCTTTGATAGTTTGAGTAACTCGCTCACTGTTGTTAATAAATAACACACTCTGTGTTAGCTTAACTGTTACCACGTGCTGCTGTAACCCAAATGTTACCAGCTGCTTTGACAACTTGGCTGTTATCACCTACTGTGATAAGTATACTTTTACCATCAGCTGTGGTAACTTGACTTTTACCACCTGTACGTTGTGGTAACTTGACAGCTATCCATCGCTGTAGTAACTCGACTGTTTTCACCTGTTGTGGTAACTTGACTGTTACCGACTGTTATCACCTGGTGTGGTAACCTGATAGTAATAACCTACTGTAGTTATGTGAATGTTACCACCTGCTATAGTTATTGACTGTTATCTACCGCTGTGGTAACTTGACTGTTATCTACCGCTGTGGTAACTTGACTGTTATCTACCGCTGTGGTAACTTGACTGTTATTACCTGCTATAAAGATTTGATAGTAATCAGCTGCTGTGATTACTTGTTTGTTATTCCATGCCGTGGTCACTTAACTTTTTTCACCTGCTGTCGTAACTCGACTGATACCACCTGCTGTGGCAGGTGTTGTACTCAATTTGTTACCTGTTTTTGCCTCACCTGACTTTTTACCTGTAAAAAGTGGTCCATTCTCATCTGTCATTGACTCACCTGTTGTGATATGTGTGATGGTCTGAGGCACAAACTACCATTGTTGTAAAGGTGCTACAGTCTGTGTGCTCAATCTCATGGCACAGCTGAGAGTGTTCGAGGAGGTCAGGCGCATGAGGTTCATGGGCGGCTGCACAAATACCTGAATGTAGAAAAAAGATAGTCCGTGCATCCATTGCATATTTAGGTCACGTAAAAAAAGAAAAATAAATATTTTAATTATAAAAATTGACTTATAATTCAAACTTTGATTCTTAATCATAATGTTATTTGTGACCATGACCTATTTATGTAGAGGCCTTTTGCGTTTGTGCAGGCTAGAATTCTTACCGTAACTAGATTGCAGAATTTAGATTTGACCATTAGCTTTCAAAAAAGGTTATTGTTTCAATGACATTCTTGACCTTTAAGCTTATAATGTAAGAAATTGATGATTTTTTTTTCGTAATAAGGCAAATAATTCATTTGGGGAAAAACACATCTGAAACAGGTGTGAACTCTAAAAACGATGTATATCTAACTTTATTGGTGGTATATGAGGTCGCTCTGCGTCTCACAGATTGAACTGTATAATTTTCTTTAAAGAACAATCATCATTAAATTTAATCTTGATATATAAGCAGTTTAACATTTAGGTACGTATGCATGCCGTCTTAAGAGGAATGTCGGATAATCTTTAACCCGATGCTGGACAGCATAATTTTTTCTAACAAAGGTGACAAACAGTTCTTAGTAAATTTGATGAAGCTATTCGCGGAAGTCATGAAATGTTGGGTCTTACCTACAAAGAGAAAGACAACCAAGAAAAACTTAAGCATGGTGTTAGTCCACAAAGATTCTCTGAATAAAAGATAAGATTGTTTATCTTGATAGCACCTTGACCTCTTTAGTTTCCTCACGAAGTTGATGTGAATTTCACAGCATGTTTGCGTAGGAGTCATTCAATATAAATATTATTATTTTGTTGAAAATTTATTCTTTTTGAGTGACCCCGATTTGGACAATTTTTAGAAGTTACATGTACCTCTGTGATCAGTCAGTTGTTTATATACATTATTAAAAAAAATTCTCTTATTAAAATTATGAGCAACATTCTCGTATGTTTTTGTTGAAAAACATATTCGTAAATAAGGCTTCAGTTTCTAAACATCTTAAACGTAAGCATTTCATGTGGAAACTTTCTTCAAATTAAAAAGTACTCATCCATGACATAACTCGAGTGAATTTTATACTTCTTCATACATGTATAATAATGAAATGTGAGATAACGGTGAACACTCTCAAAAGTCCATTTAAACAATACAAATTATGAGCAGAGCCAACACAGACCTCTGAAAATGGAGGTGGGATCAGGTGCGATGGAGTAGGAAGCATCCCCTGTCGACCGGTCACACCGCCTTGTGCTCCATGTCATGATCGGGTGAACGGAAAAATCCGTAGCAATTATTGACTACCACTTCTCAGTTGTTTTGGCCACTGTCATAGACCTACTTTTTCTTGGAGGGGGGATTCAAGCTTAAGACTTTCTTTCATGAATCATCGGATTTAAGCTGAAATTTACGAAGATTGCTTGCACACCTATACATACTTTATATGACTAGGATGTGTCCGACCTGTAACTGACCTACCTTGAAAATGTTCTCCCAATGTCTTTTTATTTCTCCAGTGATAATACCTTCTTTGTCTTCAGTGTATCAACAAATGAAATATGTGTACTTTCGTTTGAGGTGTGTTAAATTTGTATTCTACATGCATACTTTCATAAACAGCAAATGAAATATCTTTAAATAGATGCATATAAATTTAAAAATGTACATTTATGGATAACTGATAGGATGGTGCTCAGGTTGACACAATACAACACAACACATATATTTGAGGAATAAGAATTTTACTAATGAATGACAAACTATTATGCCAAAAACATATAAAGCCGTTGAAAATACAAGAAGTAAAAAAGGTGAAATAACCGAACAGTGATCGATCTCAAAAAAAATAAATAAATAAATAAATCTTCAAGCAATACAAATCTGTGAACTGGGCATAAAACACGGACCCCGGAAATTCCGGAGATGGGATCGGATGCCAAGGAGGAGTAAGCATGCCCTGTCGACCGGTCACCCCACCGTGAGCCTTAGGTACTGATCAGGTAGTCGGGATACTCCATAGTCAAAATTAGCATAAAAACAAAGGCCCAACAATTGGTATGAAACGCGTCAGCCAAAATACGACCCAGCGTTTTATTTACTAACAAGATCATTATAATGACTACAGAATTTACGAATTACTCTTCGTTCTCAGAGCATGCTCACGAGTTTCGAAAAAGTTCGGAAATGGAAAAACTAAAGTCATCTCGTTTGTCATACAATTCAGTTGTTAGTTAGCCCTTATCGTTTTTAGTCAGTAAAACAAAGATGTATCTTTAATTTTGAGTTCACAGGGATATATCGAGTTGACATGAATTGAAGTAACTTTTTTTAATTGATAAAATTGATAAAACGTCGTCGATATATCTGAATGTGGATTTCAATGCCACAACAAATGTTTTCTTCTTCTCGTGGAGAAGTTTTTGAATTAATTCTGCTTCATAGGAATATATAAACAGGTCGGCTAAAAAAGGAGTACATTTATTTTGTTGGAAGACTACGTAAATGTTGTCGTTGAGGAACTCCAGCATCCTTTTAATATCAACTTCTGAGTACTTGTATGTAGAATCAGTGTGATTTTTAACAAAGTAATTTTGTTGATAACCAATCATAAGATATGAAAATTTCCGAGTTCCATTTTTGTTGAAGAAGCAGTTGTCCATGATATAAAAAATAAGCCTAGTTTTTAATTTATCGTGAAGAATGGTTGTATAAAGTGTAGAAAAGCCGTACTTTTTGATGTTACTGACTTTAAAAAAAATGTTTATTTGAAATTTTCTAAAAGTTCTTTGGAGTTTTTGAGAATCCACCTGTGATTTACACTACATCTAAAATATGCTGTGGCACAGCACGTCTGAAGTTTCTCCTTTACAACAGTTATTTTTTTTAGTGCATTTGCTGTACCCGGCATGCAATGTATCTTTGTTTGTAAGGATTTTTATGAAGTTTAGGAATCCTGAATAAGTAGGGTAGATCGAACTCTCCGTGGTTAACTGGAATGTTAAGAGTATTAAAGACTGAAATGAAACAAACTAAGAAAACAATTATACCATAGATCATGAGAAGAAAACTTGTGACAAGTTAAACATTCTGATAACACCACAATCCTAAAAAATCAATATAAAAAATCATAAACACATTACACCTAAAGTTATAAGACTAGATGCTATACGAAATTAAGAGACAAAAGATGGGATATCTTCCGCCAGAATTCTAAGATGTATGCACCTTATGCATCATATATATTCTTCTCAGAAAGTGGGCGGATTTCAATGAATTTTGAGGAAAATGTGCGCCATTACGAATGGAAAAGTCGATGAGATTCCGAGGTGAAACCGACAGAAACTTTTTTCAGATCACTCTAGAATACTTAATTAAAACACAAACAATGAGACATAACTCGACAATTTGTATAACAACCTGTTGAATATGTTGGGGTAATACACTCTAACTATATCAAAATGATGGTAGAATAGAAATATAGTGTGATTAGGAGAACGAGTTAAACTTTTAGCTTACAAGTAAAGTTATTGCTTACAATAGTTTTTACTTTAGTTTTGGAAATATACATTTTTTTTTCATTGATAAAATGTTGCAATTCGATTCTTTTAGGAGACTTAGATAAAGAATGCATTCTTTTCTGACTTAAAACATTCTCCAAGGGAATTATTCTCTTTTATGCAGTCCCTCCACAAATACTAAACGAAAATGAAGACGGAACAAGGAAAGAAATCTTATCAAAGGAAGGAGAGACTGTCAACGTAATCTGCAACGTCTCGGGAATTCCCGCGCCGAGCGTGAAATGGTATCGACGCCCTCTAGAGGACACAGTGGGAAGTAAAAAAGAAAGTAAGCAAGAAAAATCTACTATCTGAGTTAATTTTTTAATTCTAGATTTGATTAGATATGATATTTATCTCATTATACATTATTAAAACAAGCATGGCTAGTTTGATTTTCTTTTCTGCGTAAATTCCATGGATGCGGGTGAGAGAAGCAAGTTATTACTTAATACAACTCACTTTTCATCCTGACCATTTACTGTTTATTGGCAGGCATAGTAACACCAGAGCTAGATCAGCACGAAAGCGGCGAAAGAGAGCCATGCATTTACACGACCGAGAAACCAGGTAGACCCCCCTGTACCGATGTTAGTCTCTGAGTAATCCAGTGGGATGCTTTGTGTAAATGCATGGCCTCTTTACTAACCAGTTTAACTATTGCATGTTACTAACTTATCTACTCTTCTTATCTAACAGATCATGTCGTACACTACACTGTATAACTAATGAACTCATATTCGGACAATGCCTTTGCCTACTAATTGTTCTGTATAATCAGCCATAAGATGACTTTATATTCACTGTATATACTGAGTATATATTTTTAGGAAACAACCAAAAAGAAAAGGTTAGATCATGTAGCAAACACAACATTTTTTTTTTCTAAAATATAAACAATTAACAATTATCAGTAATTTGAAGTTTCGATACATTGTTAGATATAACAAAAGGATATTCAAAAGTTTGTATGATGAGTATTTAAATAATGATTTCTAAACCTTTTCATCTATTCTTTGAACCATTTTATTTTTAAAGAGACTATCGTAGTCTTTGATATTTTCATTCCGATGAGTCAAAAGATATATGGTGCCACATTGACTGATTGAATGATCGATTATTTCATTAATCGATTGATTGTTTGATTGAGAGTAGACACTTTTTTACCCCAAAAATGTCCATGTTGTCTCTGTAATTATATCCCAATGTTTTTTTCCCTGATCAAGCAGAGGGGAAAAATGACTTTCTAAAAGGCAGGAAATTTCTTTATCCGATTTCGATATAAGCAAGTCTTGCTGTATTCATTACTTTGCTGTACAAGATTCTCTATGAGAAATCAAATTTATTTATTTATTTATTGCAGGGATTGGGATGGAAGGGGAAATTCTCGTTATCCATAACGTCAGTCGGTATTGTGACGGAGTATACCAGTGTGTAGCCTCCAATGACGTACCTCCGGCTGTAGAAATGGAGACCGCAGTGTTTGTAGAATGTACGTTCTGTTGTATATTTTGTGTAATGAGATTTTCAGTAATGTTAATTCTTAACAGTGAATATCTGAATAGCTGTGATGCAGTACTATGAAAATTTATTTACGCACAAGGAAAAGTTCCTTTCTTCATTCAAACATATATTTCCTTATTTGGAATCCTCAAGTACATCAATTTATGCTTAATATTTTTTCTTATTAAAAGAGAAAAATGGAAGGTAAATATGATAAATTAATCATTGCAACAGTCATCTTACCCTGAAAAGATATTCAGATCAACAACAAAACCCTCCCCTGAAGACTGTGTATCAGTGAATTTAGGATGTCTTCCAACTTTACTGGGGGAATGAAAACAGATGTTAATTTTTTTTCAGTTGATTACCTATATATATCTTAATTCCCTTTTCTGCTTTCAGTTCAACCAGAAGTTAGTCTTATAAATAAACGTATTTCCCAAGAGAAAGGGAAAGAGACAATTCTATTATGTGAGATCACAGCCTTCCCGCAGGCTCTGTCATATTGGATGTTCCAGGGGCAGGAAATCGCCAACTCCGAGCGACTAAAGGTGGACATTTATTCCGAAGGAAAGGCACATACAATCAAACTGAGCCTAAGAATTACTAATATATCGGACTCGGATTTCGGGGAGTATGAGTGTTTTGCGTCTAATAAGTTCGGACGGGATAGAGAGGCTATGATTTTGTACGGTAAGTAAGCTAAAGATACGAATAAAATGGCGACTTCAAAGTCATGAACAATTTCTTTTTGAATTCTTTAAATGGTGTTAAAATAACAGTTTATTTGACAATAAAACCTTACCCCTCTTCATGCCGCTTAAAACTTCAATATAAAGGTTGCAAAGTATTTTTCTTTTGGTACAAATTTTAGTTCCTGATTCAGAATGATTGAAGACGAGGCTATAATAATTTACAGGTATCTCGAGAACATTCACTATTGGTCTTTTTAAAAACAGAAGATCCTATGTACCTGATCCCACCTCTGGAATTTCTGGGGTCCATGTCTTATGCCCTGTTTACAGATTTGTATTGATTGTAGGTTTTTTGAGATAGATCACTGTTCGTTATTTTCACATTTTTTTTCATTTGAAGAAAAGCTGTGAGAGTTATCTAACGTTGTAAAGGAACTATACAAAAATGTATTAAACAATTCAGTTCCTTTGTAAAACAGAAGCCAGGGCATTATTTTTTCTAGAAGGCTGTGATATTACATGTATAACTAGCTGTAGATTATAGCTAGATTCTAAATACATTTATTTTTTATCATTTCTAAAAATTGTGAGTGATAGTTGTTTTATACATACAGTCATGTATATGTATGCATGTCTTTGTCATTATGAAAAAAATAACTTTGATGTAGACAAATAAAGTCAATTATTCAAAATACTTTTTTCACAAAATATATTCATTTTATTTATTTATTTCGCTGAAAATTTTTTATGATGATGTGAAAAACAACTGAATTCTCTATATTTTTTACGAAAATATAGCCCTTGGCCAGTAAATAAGCTTTTTTTTTTTTGCTTTAACCGTGAAGATCTACAGTTTAGAAGCATTCAGGTTTAAGAAAAGGAATTCAGAAGTTTGATTAATTTTTGACGAGAAAGCAATTTTAATTCAGTTTTTGATCAGGATATTTATACACTTGTTGAAAGCTAAAAAGTAAAAACAGTTATTTAGAAATAGGAAAATTATTATTATTATTATTATTTTTCAATAATATTAGAATCTCCCGTGATTAATGGTTGTATATGATTTTTAACAATGCAACTGTGTGTTTTCTATCTCCTCGACTTGAAAGCAATGTAAATAAACCACAACTACCCTTTAATTTTTTTTTAAAACAGAATTTCGTCCACCGAAAGCTCCGAAACCAGAAAAGCCTGTTGTAATTCAACCGACCACGAGAAGTCGCCACCATGTGGCGCCACCGGTCACTTACAGACCAACACGTGTAAAAGAAGACGTGCGGAAACCATATACAGGTAACTCGTTTATAGTCAGTACCTTCATAAACTAGTAAATTGCATATATTCTTGACCATTTTATATCGATTGTTTGATAAAGATACCACCAAAAAGTTAAATGCAAGAGTACTTTCAGTTATCTTGGTCCGTAAAATATTTACACTTTGAAAAACGATCACCTCTGCATATTTATTCATACAGTTTCATTCTATTAAAAGATAAATAATCTTAAAGTATGAAAATATTTTTGATAATAACCGCGATATTTTATACAATTTTCATGAATCCAGATTATTTTCTCAATCTGTAACAGGTTGTAAATACTTAAATAAGTATAAAGCTATAATGCCTTTCTTTTGTGCATCAATGAGATTTATCTTTATAATGCATAAAACATTAATTATGATGATTATTTTATTTCAACAGGATTTGTTGGTGAATATCGACCAAGAAAAAACGGATGTCAATTTCTAAATATGAATTTAACTGTGACTATAAAAATGGTATTTTTTGTATTACTGTTGATTTCATAGTTGGGGTGATTTTGTTGCGTGACCAAGTGTAAATGGCGCCCGAAAGAACGAGAGTTGAATGGTGTCTAAACAAATATCATTCATTCATCATCATAAGTAATTTATATCTTGTGTTACAAGCATTCCACGTGATTTTGAAGTTTGTTTCTATTTTTAGTGACATGTGTTTTTATGGTATACTCATTATGTTAATCGCATCTCTTACTGTTGACTGTTACTAATTATAGATTTGTAATGAGTTAATCCCCATTTATTATTCATACTCACATGAAGTGCTACTATATTCATGGAGCTTAATTTAAGTTCATATTTATATTACTAAAAAAATCGAATGTTTCATTAAAGACTGTTCATTTTTAATGAAGGTTTTCTTTATTTAATGTTGTCAACGTATTCTAAGCATACTTTTAAATCTTCTTATAAAATAAAATGAAAATATCTGAGAGCGCAGGCGATAGCAAGTTTGTTTTCAGACGGTTTCCTGTGTCCCTTATGACAAAGAAAGATTCGAGGCAATTGACAAACCAGGTTTTACTTCTTCAAATGATGGATTTCGACGCTTATTGTCAGCTTGAATATTTCAGACAGTAGAACTCGGTGAAGTCTATAAATAGACTGATGGGATGCCTAGTTTGAGATTCTGTCCCTTGAACAGATTGTAAAACACCTATACAGAGAGAAAGAGCATCAAAATGACAGCCTTGATTTCAAGGTCACGTGGGAAAATGATCAAGGATAAAAATACTTTAGTACTCTGTAACAAATCTTAAAGTTCTATTGCCTGTATTTGCCTCCTTTTAGAATACAAATTAACAGAGCCTTGCCCAGAACCAGAACACTTGATCAAGGGTCCAGAATTTTGCAAATCTGGTAAAATAACAAACTTTGATGTAGACAAATATATTTAATTATGAAAGAAATATTATGCATTCAACAGAGCCCCGTCCTAATCCCTGATTCACGGACCTTGACATTCACAATTTTGGAAGAAGCACACTTGGTTATTATAACTATGCACTTAGTTTATCTGCTGAATACCCAGGAGTAAATAAGAAGATTTTCAGAGAATTAATGCATTTCCACTGTATAATCAATAGTACTCCGCCCTTACACTAAAACCACTGACCCTTAGCTAATAATTTCATAATATTGGAAGAGGCACCCTTTCTCACCATAACCATGCAATTAGTTCGTCTGCTAAATACCCAGGAGCAGCGAGAAAGATATTGAAATATATTTTATGCATCTTACTATCTGATCTTTAGATTCGTGCTCCAACATCAAAAAACCCTAACCCAGGGGCCCTCAAATTTAAAATATTAGAAGATGCATCTTTGCTCGTTATAATAATATACTTTGTTTGCTTAATATACAGCCCTATCCTAACACTAGAATCCCTGATTCAGGGACCATGAAATTCACAGTTTTTGTTCCCCTTTACTCATAGATGCTATATGCCAAAATGGGTTAGAATTAGTTCAGCGGTTCCAAAGAAGAATCTGAAAATGTTCAATTGTTGCACAACCACAGACGACGGACAAAAATAGCTATAGGTCACCTGAGTGACTCAGATGACATAATAGTAATTATCTCTTGAAGGGTTTGATTTGTCAAACTCTTTTAGTAATTTATGAAATGCACAATTATATACGCTAGCATTTCAATAGAGCTGAGATGAGTAAACATAGAATCGAGTGTGTTACATGTATATAGTGGTTCTCAACGAAACTGAATTCAGGGAAATGTTATACACCATCTATGTTTCACATATCAAATTGGACATGAGTGATTTTGCTTGAAATGAGTTTCAGATCGCTGACATTCCTAAATGCTAATTGATATCAAATAAAACTATATATTGCAGAATAATGCTCTTTGAATATTATAGTAAAAAGTAAGATTTCGGAATTAATCGAAGACAATCTTGAAACAAGGATTGGAAATTGAACTAAAAAATTCTCTGTGTGGTTAAAGTATTTTGAGACACATTCGAGTCTATGATTCCGTTTGAATAACCAACAGTATAAAGGTCTTGGACAGACAGCTTGCAAATACTCTCTTATTTGTTGTTAAATATTTCTAGGAATATTGCAGCCCCAGTAATATTTTTTCACATGTTTTAAAAAGAGTTTCTGTCTTGTTTTCTTTCAGTTTCGATTTTTACTATATTATAATCAGAAAATAATCAGAAAATAACAAATAAACATCACATTATAAAGCATCATCATATTAAATATTATGAATATCAGCATATACAATCACGTTATGTCAAAGTATCATCTTATAATGAAGAATTAATTAATGTTAAATGCATTATACCACAATCTTATCGTACAATGAAGAAGAACAGGTAACTAACAACAAAGTATCATCTTATAATGAAGAATTAATTAATGTTAAATGCATTATACCACAATCTTATCGTACAATGAAGAAGAATAGGTATCTAACAACAAAGTATCATCTTATAATGAAGAATTAATTAATGTTAAATGCATTATACCACAATCTTATCGTACAATGAAGAAGAATATGTAACTAACAACAAAGTATCATCATATAATGAGAAAGTAGCAGCAAATACAGTTAAAATAAAATAAAAGTCATATATGGCGTATTTTTTGATAAGTTCTGGTAACCAAAATTAAAAAGATCGTTCTATTTGTTTTATTTATTTACAAAAAGATAGAACTTTCCTGTAAATTACACAATTTAAATCAACCGTGTTTCAAAGATATTAAAAAATTAAAACAATAACCGATTTATTTACCGACTCCACATTTATATAACAGACAAATTTAAAGTCAATTTAACTATAGAAACGTGTGGTTATTCAAGCTCAAAATCGGTGAAAATGTTAATTTGAACGTAAATTACATATATCATGTGTATTTACACTCAATCTCGTTTTATTAGTTTTCAAGCTCAGATACGCCATATATAGCTTTAAAGTTTCATCATTTTAATGAAAAAATACATTGTATGTATCAGCATATAGTGTAAAAGTCTCATTACAAAATGAATGTGTCTAAATAAGATAGTTGAGCCTTTCAATATCACACACGACTATTTCATCATTACATGATGATACTTTATAATGTGATGATTCGAGAAATCATTTTCTGACTAAATTTATATTTTGGTTAAATGTCTTAAACACAAACTTCCGAAAAGCAAAAGAAGGTCTAATTTTAACACGTGTAGAAAACACGTTCCAGGTATTTGGGAAACTGGGGCTGTATCATGCTTTTCAACATTTAAAAAAGGGAAAATAATGCCAGATATTATTTGATCAAAGATTTTGTAGCCTTTGGTTTCAAACAGAGCCGAGATGATGGAACTTTGAATCGATGTTGTTAGTATGATTGGTCTGAACGAAGTTTAAATCGGCGTAATGATGACTACTTATATTAAATTCTAATATTCCAAAATTGAGAATATGCTTGATTATGGCTTTCAAATTAGCCATAATCAAGCATATTTCTAACTTATCTGAAATCTTGCTGGTATCCGATAGAACTATTCATTACAGAATGACGCTCGCTGAATAAATTAAAATGAGTTTCCCAAAATAGATGAAGAAAATACTGAAACAGAGATAAGAGACTTTATAAAAAAAATATACTCTGTGGAAATACTTTAAGACACACTCAATTCTAAGATTTATAATCACAACTCCAATTAAATAATCTACAACTTCTTAAACAGACAGGTTGCAAATATGACATTTTCTTGATATTTTCTTCCTTTCAGGATATCCAGAAGCATGTTGCAACCCTAGTTATGTTTTCCTAATCCCACATCTTGAATTTCTAGGGTTGGGTGTTTTTCTGCCTTGTCCACAGATTTGTATTGTTTGTATGTTTTCTGTAATCGAACATGTTCGTTATCTTTATCTTTGTCATCTAAAAATTGATTGTACTCAGAGTATGCTCTTGCGTATCGAATCTGTTAGGAACACCATATGCAGGTGAAAATGAAATATTACTACATAAAAAAGTTAACGATGGAAGAACTGAATCAGCATATAAATAGAGAAGTATTATAGGGTAATGAAAAAATATCGAATTATGAAGAATTATTATCATTTAATGAAGACAATTCGGCATATAGCAAAGAAGTGTCATCATATAATGTATATCATCATATTATGTAAAAGTATCATCATAAAATGACGGGATATCATATAATGTCGGGATATCATCATTAAATGACGGGATATCATCATATAATGACGGGATATCATCATGTAATAAAGGAGTATCATCATACATGTACAATGAATAAAATGTCAGCAACATTATCTTATAATGAAGAAATATCATCGCATAATGAAAATATATCATAATATGAAGAATTATTAGCATATAAGGAAGAAGAATCATATAATCAAGAAGTATCATCTTATGATGAAGAAATACATCAGCATATAATAAGGAAATATCATTATATAATAAAGAAATACATCAGCATAAAATAAAGAAGTATCATCATTAATGACGAAGTATCATCATATAATAAAGAAGTATCATCATATAATAAAGAAATACATCATATAATAAAGAAATACATCATATAATAAAGAAATACATCAGCATATAATGAAGAAGTACCATCATATAATAAAGAAATACATCAGCATATAATAAAGAAGTATCATCATATTATGAAGAAGTATCATCATATAATGACGAAGTATCAACATATTATGATGAAGTATCAGCATATAATGAGGAAATATCACAACATCAATGTTATCTACACAAGGAAGCTGAGGTGTTTCATATTTTTTTATCAGTACACTCTATCTGGAAAAGCATGTAATGGAATTTTTTAAAGAATGGTTTACACATTGAGGAGGTAACTGTTCCGAGTGTCTGTGAAGTACGTTGGAGAGCGGCTGTCAGCGGTTGAGAACGATTTACTTAGAAAGCCGGGGACGTTTAAATATTGCTCGACACCTCTCCTATCGCAGACGATAGTCGGATTTAGTGATTACCTGAATGAACTCCTGATTAACAAAATGTCCTGATATAATCTGTCTGAAGCCTACAGGTAGGTGTTTTTGTTTGTTATTCCCTTGTGTTTTCTTTGACATACAGAAAAGAGACATTTGACAGATCCCGTCTTCATTAAATATGGTTTGGATTAATATCGAATTGATATACTGCAATAAAATTGTCTTGCAGTGTTTCATACATGTATTTAAAGTTTTTAAATGCTGCCATTTTAAGCAATTTTCAAAAAGGAAAACTTACTTGCTTTAAGCAAAAAAATATTATTATTTACAAAATATATTTTATGTTTACAATCGTCAATTAACACCTGGTAACGGGAGACTAGGGATATTGTATTTTTTAAAGACCAGATGATTCGGTACGGGGGATTTAAACTTATCATTCAGCGGTGACAGAATGTGGAGGTACTTAGATTTACAATGAACTGCATTGCTCTTGTGATTAGATTGTATTCAACACTATTAATCAATTACCTCTTATATGTCAGATCCAACACTTTGGGGGTACAGATGGGTTGCCAACGTCTGAGACTTGGCTGGGTGTAAGTTGTGACATGTAATTATAAATATCTATAATATAAATACGTACAAATGCTTTTTCCATTTTAGTTTTCTGATCGTAGTAAAAAACAAAAATGTTAAGAAACAAAATAAACATGACAGCAAATTTCGTCTTTTTTGTGAAAGTTTTAGTTCCGAATCATTTGACGGAAGAAAACCTCATAGGTCGATATAAAAAATAAGAAAGCCCTTTTATTTTTGTGAAATGTAGCAGTAACGGAAAATGTAACAGAAGTTAATAACACTCAAACACCCGTTAAACTCCTGTTTCTGATTCGCTGTTGCTTTCTAATCAATAGAAAGGAACGGTTAAAATAAAATGATGAGAAAACCAAAATTAGCTTCAAGCGCTGCAGGCAAATTTGTAGTAAGAATGGACTGAAAATGGCCAATGCCAGAAAGAGGGATATATTATATTAATCCTTTAATCTGTTGTTTCTGGGGCAAATTGACGCTCTAACTCAAGTGCAATTTACCGTCAAATACAAACGTAATGAGGATTAAGAATGAGCAGAACCATGTGATTTTGGCCTTCATTGACGCAGAATGCAGGATCAGTTTTAATGTGTTTTCTTTACCTGTCCTTACAATGGTTTTGGCTGGAAAAAGGAAGAAATTTAAATACTTCATTCAAAATATTGTGTTAGGGATTTAAAATGGATTACAACAATTCTGACGAGATAGTAAAAACTTGGCGCAAGTAAAATACTTCTTTATATACGATCAAGTTCTTATAGGAGTCCCAATCTAATAAAAACACCTGATCAATAACGTGATAGAAAGAAAAGAATATCATGCTTTTAAAATTAAAGTTTGATTTCCCCTTTTTTGACGTCACGGGCTAAAGATCAAACAAGTTTCTAACAATCACTCGGTCAGTTTTTATGATGATCAGGTAAATATCAATGTGAAATCAATTGCACTAAAATCTTGCCAACGAGTACACATAGATAGATAATGATTAATGCCAAATAATTTTGGGGGAAAACTTTAAAAAAAAAACAACAGACGGTTACCGTAAATGAACCATAAATCATTTCTTTAGTATTAACTAGAAAACGTACACAGTTAGACTGTCAAATCGACAATTGTGCTTAATACAATTATACCTAGAACAAAAAATACAGCACATTAGAAATTTGATATTGAACAATCACTCAATTATGTGTTAGAAATTGCATACATACAGACCACACAGAGACAAAACATTGATGTCTTTCTTTTCATCCACTTCTTCTTTGTTACAATGGATACTATTTGAGATTTATTTGCCGTGATAGATTGATTTGCCATGATAGATATTCATATAGACATACATTAGAGTGATAAAGGGATATTACACCAAAATTCATAGGTGTAAAGAATTGAAAACGTTGCAGGAGTTATAGCGTCACCATATTATGTTGACAAACAATCGGACAGATGGGCAGACAGATGCCAAAGTTAACAGGAGTCTTTCCATATGGTCTCCTCATTCTGTATAGTAATGATGAAAACTGAGTTATTGTGCCATTTACAATATCCATTTAGAAAAACAAAGTCATATGACCTCAAATTCTGTAGGCGTCTTTCTTTCGTAATAGAGTACGTCTGTACAAAATTGGAAAACGTTACATTGAAAACTGTTTGTTTTATCGCTTCACAACAAATATGTCGATAGAACATTCAGACATGATCGTACTGTGGATAGAGAAATGATATGGCCAGAAAATGTATAGGTATCATCCTCGTAGTAGCTAAAGTAGCTCTTTACAAAATTTTAAAACGAAACGTTGAAAACTATTTGATTTATCGTGTCACAACAAATAAGTTGATAAACAGACGGAGAGACATTCTCATTTGCAGTGGCATAGGGCACATAGGTAAAACGGGGATTCTACATACATGTACCTCTTTATTCTTGTCCGATTTATCTTTCTTTATTCTCTGTTGGAATTCGATGGGAAATGTTTATTTAAGGAAAGAAAGTCTTTATATACAAGCTATAATTTGATGTTTTTCAGGCGATACCGTCACCGACATAGTACATGTAATACTTCCTTTCAGGATCTGTTATCATCCTCACCAAAATAAACACGCTACCCTCTGATTTACCTTTGTACCCCACAATTACTATAATAAGCCTATCTTTGATTCAACCTATGTATTTCTCACAGAAACAATAATCAAACACTTCGTTGCATCCCTACTCTGATCCTTATCTCTCTAATCTACACACTAGCCACGCCCTCTGACCTAATGACTACCAAATAAGGACACAGGAAATAGGTCTCACGAGATATCATGCGGTTATGAAGACACAACCCCAAATTTTACTGACACAACATTAGGCAATATATATAATATTATAAGCTAAGAATAAAGTACATGTACATATACCTATCTTATTGCTCTGATGAAGATCGTTCTCTAATTGATAAAAGATGGTACAAGGTTCAATCTTTTTCATCCTCTTTCCTTCTTTATCAGGTGTCCAGTTGCAGTAGATGTCTAGTATTCGTTCGTCTGTCCACCCTAAGAACCTTAATCAGCCCTGGGGCACGATACTTAAACCTGAGTACGGCCTGGGTCATCAGAAAATGACGGATTACGAAATAGGCCAGACGGTGGATCGTCTGTATAAAATTCCCGCCACAAAAGAGCGCGTGTACGAAAGACCGGGAAAAAAGATGACAGAGGAAGAAATAACTGAAATGGTGAATATTGTTCAGTACAAATCCGTGTAGATCTTGCGATTATGCATATTAGTTGTATATCAACTGTTCTTATTAGATAAAAAGCGGTAAAAGTTCCTAATTTGTTAGGGAAAACTAATGTTTCAAAGAATTCCCAATTATTTGATTAGTTTAAGCGAATTCTTAATGCTTTGTAATGTATTTTTCTCTGCAGTTACAGCGGCTAACTAAGGCTCCCGTAGAGAAGATTCCAGATAGTGACCGACGGGTGACGAAGTCTACATACAGCGAAATGGGCGTGGTCAGTTCCTATGCCTGGAAGGGTTATAACTAGGGAGTTCTGGGATTGAAGTTGTTGTCATTTATTACATTTCGTAGAGACTCTTTATAACTTTATATGTTTTTTTTTCTATATGAGAAGCTATATGATCATATTCATAAAATTTGAGTGACATACTCTGGATGAGTGTATTTTATTTGCCTTTAAAAGGTTAAATGAGGAACTTACCTCACACGTGTTAATGATTTTGTTTGTTTTGTTGTACCAAAAAAAAAAAAGGAAAATAGAATGTAAAATTGTAGTATTTATCGCAGAAAAAGTTGAGGTGAAAATGTTCTGCCAATAGAGAATACTGTAATCGCTGAGCAAAATTAAAATAAAACAGCCCTATGAAATCATCACAGAAAAAGGGCATCAATCGAACGTTTTTTATAGATATTTCAATCGCACAAAGAATAAGACGATATGTATAAGGGTTTTACCAACCTGAAATATGGAGATTCAAGCTTAAATGTCCATTTCAACAATACAAATCAGCAAAACACAAACCTCTAGAACATCAGAGGTGGGATCAGGTGCCATGGAGGAGTGAGCATCCCCTGCCGACATGTCGTGTGCTCCTTGTGTAAATAATGGCCTAACAATCAGTATGAAAAACGTCTGTCATCATTCCACTAAATATTATATTATATTTACTGACAAGGTCATCGTATCGACCATAGGACTTGTGAAATGATTACTTTAAACGAGCCTTTTGATATCCTTGTTTCATCAACTTTTTGTCAATACACATTACATGTAATATGTTTACTTCATATTTAACAACAATTAGACAGTTTTGTCTAAAAATAAAAGCACAGACTACAAGGAAAGACTTTTTTTTCAAACAACAAAACATCAAGGGAAAATAATTATTATAAATTCAAATAAAGTTTGATTTAATAATTAAGGAAAACGTAAGGTATCATTTTTAAAACTTGTAAATACCCGTTTGCCTAGTGCTCAAGTCGCATAAAGCCCGAAGGACTTTATGATAGTGTTGTACGTACACTTACCAAATATACCAATCTGTATTCACATCCCGACAAATATTGTAAAATGATACCTTATTACTTATATCCCATGTTCACCGGTCACACCCGCCGTGAGACCTATTCAGGGATCAAGGATACATTCCGTAGTCAAATTCAGTATAAAACAAAGGTCTAACAATAGGTATAAAACAAGTCAGCCACAATACGTCTCAATGTCAGGTTGCTAAAAAATAACAAAACAATTTTTCTTTTATTTTTTTTATTACATATATGTTGTTAGGCTTAATAGATAAATAAATAATTACAGTTGATTAATTTTATTCACATGATAATTCAAATGTTTGATTTACTGAATACGGAGTCACAATATACATGTTTTGACATTAAGAATTTTTTTAGTCCCCTACCGGTGAAACCGGAGGGGACTATATGTTTCCTCTGAGTCTGTCCGTCCGTCTGTCTTTCTGTCTGTCTGTCTGTCTGTCCGTCTGTCTTTCTGTCTGTCTGTCTGTCCGTCTGTCTGTCTGTCTGTCTGTCTGTCCCTCTGTCTGTCTGTCAGTCTGTCCCACTTGGTTTTCGCACTTTTTTCCTGAACGCTTGCAGATATTGAGCTGATTTTTGGTATGTGAGTGTATATTGATGAGTTACAGATCAAGTTTGCGTTTCGTTCCGCTTCATTGATTTTTGATGGAATTACGACCTTTTCAATTTTTAGGGGTTTTCCGCAATTTTCTTCTAAACGCTTGCAGATATTGAGCTGATTTTTGGTATGTGACTTTACCTTGATTAGTTATAGAACAAGTTTGCATTTCGTCCCGCTTCATTGATTTTTGACGGAATTACGACCTTTTCAATTTTTAGGGGTTTTCCGCAATTTTCTTCTAAACGCTTGCAGATATTGAGCTGATTTTTGGTATGTGACTTTACCTTGATTAGTTATAGAACAAGTTTGCATTTCGTCCCGCTTCATTGATTTTTGACGGAATTATAGCATTTTCAATTTTTAACGGGAACCAGATTACACTTGCAGGTAGGGGACTAGTATTGCTAATGCAATACTCTCAGAATGCTTATGTTCATTAATTTACACAAGGAAATTTATCATCATTATGATGATAAATTTCCTTGTGTAAATGTATGAACATAAAGAATATACGTTATGAGGAAGTTAAAACTGAGTTACCTAAAATTTCTGATAAGCCAGTGTATAAGACATGTTAACAAAACAGAAAAATCAGAGTATTTTATCACGATCAATATGAATTTTTAAACTTACTTCCCTAATCACTAATTTATGTTTATTGCATTATCAAGGAAACAAATTGAACATCTAACCGGAGACAGGTAAGACTTTTTAGCAAGTACCTCCTACCAAAATTTACTAATAAAACCCTCAAGTCAATAGATTCTTGTTTGTTATCAATCATTTGATGCACGGACTCATAATTACTTATTTCCCGAAGAACCCAAGTGTAGGTACCATGGCTGTAAATTAAGTTAAAATTGCATAGTCTCCTTTCTCAGTATTCTCTGAGCTTTTGTAATATGAAAGAGAATGCATCTAAATTCTTATAGAGATTTTTAACCAGGAGAATAAATAATAAGAAGTGTACACCAGGTGACTTGTGATATCCTGTCGAAGGAAGCCGTGTTACAACGCGATATGTAATAACAACGCGAAATGTAATAAACCGGGATTATTGCATTTTGCGTTATTACATTTTGCGTCGATATCAACGCAGAATGTAATAACGTAAAATGTAACAACACACTTTTTAGGATTATTACATTTTACATCGAGATCAAGGCAAAATGTAATAACACGATTTTTGGATTATTACATTTTGCATTGTTACATTTTGCGTCGAGATTAAGCAAAATACAAAAACGCAAAATGTAATAACACATTTTTGGTCAGTCAGATTGAGAATAATTTTCAATTGAGTAGTGGATGAAGAAAATAAACGGATGGAAAATAAAACAATATGCTTATTCTTACAATAGATCTGATTTCATCATATATTGATATCATTAGCCATTTAAAATCAGATGATATTCAAATCATAGGTGTTGCAAATTAGAAACGTGCGTGCACATGTGTGTGTGTGAGGGGGGGGGGGGGGTTATTTCGTTTATCAGTGTATCGGTTTGCTTTTTCTTTTTGCATAGGCACATGCACGAAATTTAGAAAAGAAATCTTTTTTTACTAGCAAGTGTAACTATAGCGGGAAGGGCGTTTCTTGACAATTAAGATATCTCACTGTTTTACAAATCATGTGCATTGCAGACCAGCAAAACTAAAATTCCCTCTCTCTCTCTAATAATAAAATGGATTGTTTCTGCATGTGCATAAAAATACAAAGATCAACATACGAAGTAAACCCTACCCCCCCCCCCCCCCTTCTCCTCACCAGACACACACACACACACACATGCACTTCTAATTTGCTAACCAATGTACACATGCATGTTGTACATGCATATCAAGAGCTTTTAATGGACCCATGGTCAATCCTTGGTAATCAAGAATGTCAGTGATGGATATATAATACAGACTGATTTATAAACAGACATGTCATGTTAGAAATAGAGTTTAAAAATATATACGATTATATTTAATAATGTCCGTTAAGGCCGTAATGTTTGTCTAATATTCTTTTAGGTCTGTCTGTTTACTAAATTGAGTTTCCCCATTGTTATATGTTTAAATCAATTTTGTGATGTTTCGCATTGAAAACAATACCAAAGAAAAAATAATTATATTTGTGTTATTACATTTTGTTTTATTACATTTTGCATTGTCTTCGACGCAAAAAATAATAACGCAAAATCTAACAACCAAAAAGTGCATTATTACATTTTGCGTTAATCCCAACGCAAAAAGTAATAACGCAAAATGTAATAATCCAAAAATCGCGTTATTACATTTGGCGTTATTATATTTTGTGTTGATCTCGTCGCAAAATGTAATAACGGAAATGTAATAATCCCATTTTATTACATTTTGCGTTGTTATTACATTTCGCGTTGTAACAAAGCCGTCATTATTGCATGACAAGTACATTTAGGTAATTTTGGAAACGTTTATACTGATGAACCAGTGAACTAAACAAATTTTTGTAAAAATAATTTTTGATTTTAAACGGCCCTGTTTTTATTTTCCTTATGTACGTTTTATATAGTGCATAATGCATAAATAAATGTTAATGATAATTGGAAGTAACGTTTTTCTAATCTTAGATATTTAATAAAGAGCTGAAGCATGGACCATCGTACTACTTGCCAGGACGTGATGCGATGTGAAATGTGTGAGACTGCTGTGGTACAGATGCACTGCGAAACATGCCGTGTCAACCTATGCAAGCCCTGTATCGGAGAACACATTTCTGCTGATCTCGCCAAACCTCATAAAATTGTTGACTTCAGGAAAAGAAAGTCTTCTCTTATTTATCCTAAATGCACATCTCATGATGAAGAAATTTGTGAAATGCATTGTAATAATTGTGACATTCCTGTATGCAGTAACTGTCTTGTTACAGGTAAACATCTCGGTCATACATTCGTAAAAGTCTTGCAATTCCGAAAAGATAAACTGGATAAAATCATCAAAGTTGAAACTGAACTCAAGGAGATAATTTATCCAATAAACGAGGACATTGCCTCTGATGTACAAAACAGAATGAGTCAGTTAGAAGAGGAGTATGGAGATCTCTCAACGGCCATAACAAAACATGGAGAGGACTGGCACAGAAAAATTGACCAACTTGTCGAGAAACTTAAAGCTGAAGTCGAGGAGATGAAAATCACACAGTTAGAAACACTAGAGAGACATTTAAATGAAATTCACGAGAAAATGTCGAACATTATGGAGGTAATCAGATCAATTAATAATGCTGTAGATTCTACAGACATTTCAACCTTGCTTAATCTGCCTTCAACAGCTGATCAATATAGAAAACTTCCGAGCAAAATCATAGTCTCCTTACCTAAATTTTCTCCGAAGAAATTACTGGCAGACCAATTCTGTAGTCTGACACTCATTCCATTAATATTAGATGATGAAGGCTACGACACAAAGACAACAGTAAAATCGCCAAAAGATGAATCCCCTCCTCCACTCAAACAGTTTCTAGATGAACCAGAAATTGTCACCACCATAGACACTGGGTATAGATATCTTTATAATGTAGCCTGTCTTAGTGATAAAAAAATCTGGACAAGTGGATATGACAGTACCATGAAACTATTCAGCATCAATCAGGGATCCCTACTCAAGACAATCACAACCAAATCAGGAAATATGCCGTATGCCATGGTAGTGAGAAAAAATACAGATCTAGTATATACTGATTATGATGATAGAACTGTGAACATTGTGAAGAATGAGAAGATAGAGGAAGTAATCAGACTACAGAACTGGAGACCTCATCGTGTATGTAGTACTTACTCTAGTGACCTCCTGGTTACCATGGACAGTGATGACAACAAACAATCAAAAGTTGTCCGTTACTCTGGCTCCACAGAGAAACAAACTATTCAGTTTGATGACAAAGGTAAAAATCTCTATTCGACTGGTTCTCCTTACTTCAGATGCATTAAATACATCAGTGAGAACAGGAACTTGGATGTCTGTGTGTCTGATGATGGAGCTAGAGCATTAGTGGTGGTTAATCAGGCCGGGAAACTTAGATTCAGGTACACTGGACATACTCCTGTCCCAAATAACCTACCATTCAGCCCTCGAGGAATCACCACAGACAGTCAGAGTCATATCTTAACTGTTGATTGCAATAACCACTGTGTCCACATCATAGACCAGGATGGACAGTTTCTCCGTTATATAGACTGTGGCCTCAGATATCCATGGGGACTCTGTATAGATACAATCGACAATCTATTTGTTGCTCAATGGCAAAACAATCAAGTGAAGAAAATTAGATATTACTAGTGATATTTATCATTGAAAGGAACAAATGATATTTCTTACAATATACATCAATAAGATGACAGATCCAATATGAAATGTTCGTTTAACTATATGAGCAAAATTTTGCGAGGAATTATTTCCCACTGTAACAAAACCATCAAATGTATTTCATAATTAAGTGATACAGTGATACACTTCAATTATACAGTAGTGTACCACAATATACTAAGTATTCCAGAGGTAGTGTAAATCAAATGTGGATACGTAAAAACTCGAAGGAACTCAAAGAAAATTTGGAATCACAAAATTTTACCAAACTTAATATCATCAAAACGTACGAATTTTCAAGACTTTAGACAACCATTCCCTGTGATAAATTTAAATCAATGCTTTTTGACATCACTGACAGCTGCTTTTTCAATAAAAATGGAACTTGTAAATTTACATATCTCGTCATTGGTTATTTGCAAAATTATTTTGTTAAATGAACTTTCTGATTGTACACACAAGTACTCCAAAATTGATAATTAAAAGATACTTAAGCTTTTGATTGATAATATTTATGTTGTTTTTGGAAATCAAGTCTTCCAACATTCCGTAAGAAATATATACTATAGTTAAGTATAGTTTATAATAGTTAAGTATAGTTAACTATAGTTTCGAAGTTTTTTTTTTACTATAGTTAATCAAAGTTTTAACTTTAGTAAATTTAAGTATTTTTACTATGGATTTTAAGTTGTTATATTTTATGTTCTAAAACTCATTCGTGCATATTTTTAATATTTAATGGAACTTTTATGTGTATCTTCACAAATTATTTACCATTTTTACTATAGTTAACCATAGTAAATTTTTGTACGGGTCCAGTCGGAATTTCCATGGATACTTCTTGCGTCCCGTTATTAGCAGACCTTTTTTGTATTCATATGAAGCAGAATTTATTCAGAACCATCTATATGAAAAGAAAAACGTCTCATGCTGCAACCTTCAATTCAACATTTAAGTATATCGAAGACGTTTTATCAATTTTAAAACAATATTCATTTTCACCCCTATGTTGATTGATATATCTCTTTCAACTAAAAAAAAAAAGATACAACAGACTGACACATCTGTTTCATATTTGGATACTTTACTAGAAAAAGACGTTAATGGTAACCTATTAACAAAACTTCATAATAAACGTGATGACTTCATATTTTTTATCAATAACTTCGATTATTTATGTTGAGATATGCTATTATTACCTGCATATTACCTGCATATGGAGTTTATATCTCCCAGTTGATTCAATACGCAAGAGCATGCTCTACGTATGAACAATTTCTAAAAAGAAACAAGCTATTCACAAATAAGTTGACGAAACAAGAATATCGAATGTCTTGTTTAAAGTCAAAGGATGTGTTGCAATACTTTTGTGAGACTGGCGTAGTACAGATGCATAGTGATATCTGATATAATGCATAGTGATATACGTTTATGTCATAATTGATTCGATAAGAGCATGCTCTACGTACGAACAATTTCTAAAAGAGGAGGCTATTGACAAACAAATTGATAGAACAAGGATATCAATAAAATCGTTTAAAATCATCACTTCGCATGATCTATGATTGATACAATGACCTTGTTAGCAAATACAATGTATCATTAAGTCGAATGCTGACTGACGTTTTTCATACTAAATATTAGGTCTTTATTTACACAATGAATTGTCCAAGGATCTCTCCCTTTTCCCGATCATGACAAGGAGTACATGGCGGACGTCATCGGTCGACAGGGGATGCTTACTCCTTCACGGAACCTAATCCAAACTTTAATCTTTTTTACAGATTCGTGTTTGTTTTTCTCCCGATCTATATTGTTTCAATGTACTTTTGATCTTGTAGTGTTTATTACGAAAATAATTGTTAGATTGAAAAATTCTGTACTCTTTAAAGCTGAACACAAGTCACAAAAGAAAGAGATTTATTTCGCCTACCTATTTTCCCTTTAATTCCGCCATTTTATTTTACATTTCTTGAGGCAGACTTTTTTCCCACTTTTCAATGCATACTATGCACAGCTTCAAAGAAAAGAAAACAAAAAAAGCAACCACAGATACACGTCGTTTATTCGAGAAGTACAATAAATCAGAGTCACATTTATTTTTCTTTTATGTTACACATGCTCATTGTCACAGAGTGGCTGGCGGCTTCCCGAAATTACAATTCAATTTTTTTTTGGATAAAATAGTTTTATTTACAAAATATACAAAACACACGCGTTTTCTGCATGGCTTAATGGCTCAATGGCTGAATGGTTCAATGGCATAATGGCACAATGGCATGATGGCTTAATGGCTTTATGGGATCTATAATATAAATTAAAGTTAGATACAGATATAATATACTTAATATACTTCGCTCATACTTGTACATTTTCCTGTACATCCACTAAGGTGCATTTTACTGCATTATACATATAATAAGTTGCATTTTACTGCACTGTACATATACTTCATTACTTCAATTTACTTTACAGAACTTTTACGTTCACACATAGGCTAAGTGTACTACTTGTAGACAATAACTTTACTTTGAGACGAATATTATACGCCATAATTTGTACATACAACACAATATCTACATTATAAATATACTCATACACTTATACTTTTACTTATAATATATATACATTACATGAGCAAATACTACTTTGAATCTAACTTACGAATGAAAATATAGAACAAAGTTCTGTGGCCATTTCAGGAATAGAAATCGTCAATAAACCATATTAACTAATAATAATAAATAAAATACACTTACCCAGAATAGGTGGACCTCTGGTCATTAAATATTAAGCAATTATTTAAACATTTAAGGAAAAAACTTTAGCTGTCTTACAACACGACTGCTCTGGTCAATTGCTACGCCCAATCTGATTTCAGAATAGCACGGGATTTAAAGTGGGATCACAATCCCAGGATATCCAACGATCTCAACTTTAACACAGGACGACGTCACGTCAGGAAAGACAGTCAACCTGGAAACTCAAATCTTCAATGAATAACAAGTTCCAAATGCAGGTGTTGTCTTCGGTTATGGAATCTCGCAGAAGAAATCTACATGTCAACGACAGTGCCTGATGTCCTAAAGCAAGAGGACTTGAATTCATCTTAAAGGAAACTCACTTAACAGTTTATTTCAATTAAAACAATTATTGTCAAACTGTAAGAAAAGAAAACTTTTACTGAAAAAAACTTCACAATTTGATACAAAAGACTGTTACAAAAGTTATTAGAATAGGGAATTGCTTGCTTTGAAATCTAGTGAATATTTCATATACATGTATGTTCCCTGATTGTATTCTGTATGTACACGAAGTTTGTAATCATTCTTACTCTTACAACTCTTATTGTAGGCAATGTTCCATGGTCATTTGGGATCCAGAAGGTTTCTAGAAGTAGTGAGGGGTGGACTTCCTCAGAGTATGTGGAGGCTGGTCAGGGTAAAAGTAGTGTGGTAAATAAGTCAAAAATATTAACAAACTTTCAAATTCAGTAGGAAGTAAAATTCCAAGTATAGTAGTTTCTTTTTAGTAGTACATATAGTACCGCAGTACATAGAAAGTAGAATTCAAAGTATAGTAGAGTCATTAGTAGTACATGTAGAAGTGCAGTATATGTGTTAGAAAGGCCTTGGTGTTATGTTCAAAAGGTCATGTCCGTAAAAATGGACTCAGTACAAGATTTAATCGCTGCAGGCGGGAGGTTAGGTTATGAAAATGAAGAGTTAAGAAACTATGTTACTGAACAACAGAAAATACAGCGTGAAGAGAGAGCAGCGGCTCGACAGAGGGAAAAAGAAGAACGAGAATATCAGCTAGAGATGGAACGTATGTATCATGAGATGAAGATGAAGCAGTTACAAGAGGAACACGAATTAGAACTGGCAGAGAAAAATGCAAAAGGTAAGGCTAGTGACGTTATGGTAAAACCTAATGTACCGAATACCGATGAGATCGATAGCTATTTGAGAAGGTTTGAGAGGTATGCGACAGCCATGAATTGGGAGAAATCTTTATGGTCGACACACCTAAGTGCTTTATTGAAAGGGCGAGCGCTAGATGTGTACTCTCTCATGTCTACATCAAAAGTAAGTGATTATGACGAACTTAAAGCAGCTTTACTACGTAGGTACGAAATGACAGAGGATGGTTTTAAAAAGAAATTTCGTTCATGTAGACCTGAAGTTGGGGAAACATTTTCACAATTCACTGTTAGACTTGCTTCTTACTTGACTCGATGGGTTGAAATGTCTAAAATTACTTGTTCATTTGAGGCTCTTTTCGATCTTATGCTTCGAGATCAAATGTTACATGTGTATAATTTTGAATTGGCTGTGTTTCTGAAGCTGAATGTTCCAAAGACAGCGGATCAGATGAGTATGTTAGCTGATCAGTTTAGGGAAGCTAGAAATACCAGTGCTGTTAATTTGTGTTCAAGGGTAGTGAATAAACCTGAGGTGAGTAAGGTACCAGAAAAACCAAAAGATGTACGCCAGCATCAGCAACAGAAGTCAAGGTTTGTTCCAAACAATGAAAGAGAATGTTATATATGTAACAAATATGGTCATATTGCACCCCAGTGCAGATTTAGAAGTAAAAACTCAAGTGCAACAGTGTGCAAGGAAGGACGAGGAGCAAATCAAACAGGTGGTGGTAATACAAATCCAAATAACTGCGCAGCGCTGATTTACAGTCAAAACCCGTCTATTTATAGTCAGGTAAGTGACCATACAACCGTTTTAACATCGGCATGTCATTCTACAGAGAAACCAATGCCTCTTTCAGCTGGTTATGTTGAAGGTCACCCAGTTACCTTACTGAGAGATTCAGGATGTTGGAACATTGTAGTTCGCAAGAGTCTGGTAAAAGAGGAAAACTTTACAGATAGACAGGAAACGTGTGTTTTGGCAGACAACACAAAAATAGTGGTCCCCGTGGCTAAGGTTGTCATTGATTCTCCATACGTATCAGGT